AGAAAATGAAGGAACAACATCTGGAGAGAAATGAGGAGAGAGGTTACTGCCCAGGGACCCCCGGCCAATGGCCATTCGCTTATCAGGGCAAAGGAAATTGTGGGCATGCAAACCTCGGAGAATACTTCACTCATAATTTCTCATATTACTGTTAATTGTTAGAAGAAAATATACAAAAGAATACTAAACAGATAATAGATGAGTCAGGACAAAGATCTCAAAGTAGAAGGTGAAGAATGGAGAGACAGTGAGGAAAGGAAACAGGTCTGTGTAGAGGGTGAGGTTCAAGTGCACAATGAGAGGATTACTGAGCATGTGTGTCATAGGGGCTAAGTAACAATTACTGCAAAAGGAAGAGGCATATTGCAAGGGGAAAGAATTAAGGGGAAACAAGCAATCTCAGAAAAATCCTGGGATAGAAGATATTAGAGAGGTAAAAATGTTTTGATGATGGGGGCAATGGAGAGGCGAATGGTGGATATTATGAAGGTTTTAGTTTCTTGTAGTGGGGAAGAAACGTTCTAGTAATGTAGTATCTTTTCAGGGTAAACCATTTTGACATCTTATTTTTATGTAGTAATAGAGAAATGTACTTTTGATAAGAATGGTTGGGAAAGTGATAGAGTTAAAAGATAGTTAAAAGGAAATGCTAATAGTTAAGCCAGTGGAATAAGAAAATACTATAAAGTAGATGTGGCAACATTCAAGTCAGGTAAGGTGGAATGATGATAAACGCACTAGAGAGGATAAATGATAAAATGGGGAGTCTAGCAGTAAAGGTAGAATTTATGAAGATTCAATGATAGTGGGTCTCAAACAATGTAGCAGCTAAATTTCAGAAATGCAGGGCTTAGTAAAGTTATATGTTTAAAATTGACTTTTACTAGTTCCCTTTCAGAAGTAAGACTCTATAGGCAAAAAAAAAAAAAAAGCACATAGAAGTATTAAATGATGAACTTAGTATATCAATTTAATATTCACTCCTTCAAATAAAAAAATTACATTTTATGTGTTCAAAATCAATCAAGTGCTTGGCTACAAAGAAAAATTCATAAAATATTAAAATAGATATTTCACAAGATATAATCTCTGCTTATAATCTAACAAAAGTAGATACAGCGAGTTTAAGAACATTAAAGATCCTAAAGGCTAGAGTTTAAGAAACACATTCTTAAATAATCCTTAGATCAAGGAGAAATGAAAACAAAAATCACAAGCTATTTAAAAACTAATGAAAGTAGAGTATTTCATTTCAAAACCTACAGCATTTAGCTGGATCTGTACCGTGGAGAATATTAATAGCCTTAAATATCTTTGTTGTTAAAGGAGTAAGACCTGAAAGGAAAAACACATCTAATTTTTAAACATTAGGAGAAAAATAAAATTTCTATAAGCCATAAGAAAATAGGCAAAATAAATCAGTATAATAGAAGATAAACCCAAACAACAGAAAGGACAAATACATTCCAAACTGCTTCTTTAAAAAAAGTCGGTAAGATAGAAGAACCCCTCACAAGCCTGAATAAGAGGAGAGAATAAAATTAGGTTACATCAGGAATGAGAGAGTGGCCCAAACCGTAGGTATAGGAGAAAGATTACTGATGAGAGCATTATAAGGAACAGTGTGGCGATACAATTTTGCAGCGAAAGAAAACAGATTATTTTCTAGAAAACTGTAGTTTGAACAAGTGGAAAACTGGACTGTATCAATTATCATCGAGGAGATTAGAAAGATGATTCAAGATTGAGCATTAAAAAATGCAGTAGGAATGATGCAAAAGAATAAAATATATAAAAAGCAGCAGGACAAATTGTTTTTCCCTGACAGCAGCACTCTTCCAAGTTACAGGAAAGAAGATGGCTAGAGAGGAAGTTGTGAGATCAATGGGAAAGGAGAAAGGACCTGGAGGAGGGGGGAAGGTATGATGGGGAGAGTCAAAGGTAGAGCCTCCTCTGGAGCCCCAGTTCCCAGCACTCCCCAACCCCGGTCCTTAACGACTGCTTGTTTATGCTCAGCCATAAATGTCTGTGTACCGCTATCATTTGTACACTGGAGGCAGCTGCTCCCGGGTAACAGGAACACAGCCGGGACCTGTGACCCTAAGCTCTTCTGCACTCCTCGTGGCCCATTTCCATGCAAACTCAAGTTGGTGGTGAGAATCTGTATGTTTAGGGATCCCGCCCCTACTCATTGAGGCGGTCACTGAGATGAGCAAACTCTGGTGAGGGCAGGACATAGCCACTCCAGGGGGCTCTCTGGTCCCGTAAGACTATGGGCCGGGTCAGAGGGCATCTGGACATCTGTCCTTGCCTGTGGGCAGTGTGACCTGTGCTGGGCAGACTCACATAGAAGGTGGGGATTTCTGTCTGTCTGCACGTCTGTCCACGGGAGACACAGCATCTGCTCATGAGCCTGGCTTTGAGGTTTGTTCTGCCTCTGGGAGAGTTCATTTGACCACATTTGGGAAATATCATTGATTTTCTGCCTCTTAGCCCAAAGATGTTTTAAAAACTTCATCACTCTTGCGTGACTTCTCTTGGCAAGCTACTTCAGTGACTAACTCCACCTAGGCAGTTCTTTCTTAAATCAAACTCATAGAGGACAGTTTTTCTATTCCCATTTATGTATCTGGCATCTCCATCACAGTGTATTAGAGAGTTGCTGGGGGCACTGTGGTTTTTCCAGATTCACTGAGCATATTCCTTTCCTATTTTTTTTTAGCCTTTATCTATTTTTCTTCAAGCAATTTTGGCAGCTTGTAATAGAGTTAGCTTTTCATTTCTATAAGGACTAAAGTGGGAACTTAGGAGAAAAAAAATCCAGATACCCGTGACCACAGCGGTACCTATAAATGACAAACTATGAAGCAGGTGGGAAGAGAAGGGGAGATAAGATGAACTGGTCCAACTGACTGGAAAGGCCTTCTCCTATCAAAATAGTTTTCATTCAAATCTGATTCACTGTGTGCTTTTTAAAAATTTGTCTACCCAAGATTTATTATTACTATTGTTATTATTTTCAAATAAATGTTATTGATTTACCACTGGTTTCCAATACTGTAACTTGGGAGTGTGGCTGCACACCTGGATATAAGTACATCTTTACCCTCACACCCCCAGCGTTCTAGTGCCATCACCCATCATGTTCCCCACCTCAGCCCACTCCTCTCACCTTCCCTCCCTTTTCCCTGTGTTAACCACTATTTTTCATAATCTAAGATTATGCTAAGAGATGTAAGTCAGAAAGTGAGAGATAATGATTCCATGGTTTTGCTCATATGTGGACTATAATTAACCAACGCTAAGAAACTGGCAAAACACAACAGATCTGGTTCTTTGGATGGAGATTGTCGAGGGCTTAGAGGAGACAACAGGAGCTTTCTTAGCCCAAAAAGAATGAAAGAGTGGATGAATTTGCTAGTTCTTTTATCTATTATTGGAATTCCTTGGGGATCTCCTCTCCATTCTGGGTAATTGAGCTCCTTCTGAAAGCTTGCAGGGGTAGGAAGCCCCCCCCCCCCATCTGGAGGGGTCCTAGGCCATAGGATGGCAGGAATACAGGCCTTCCCACTCCTCCAGCCCTGAGATTCTGGGACTCTCCCTGTAAGCTGGAAACTCTTGCACCCAAGGCTCTTAGTTTCTCTTACTTCCATGATGGAGTACCACTGCAGACAGGACAAGAGAGGAAGGGTGGGTGAGGGAGGGTGAGCCTAGGAGTGGACCCCAGACAGTTCTATGAAAGGGAGGCCTGGTTTATAACTGACCCCCTAGGGCGTATCACTAGGTTTGTACAATCTCTGAAGGAGCCTCAGAGTAGATAGTCCTGGTTCCAATCACAAAACCCCTTATGTCAATCATCCATTTGACTTGCTATTGTATTGCTCTGCCATATCAGGGACAGGCAGACTTGAGGCTTGAAGGCCAAATCTAGCCAGCTGGCTGTTAAAGAAAGTCTTACTGGAACACAACCAGGCTTATTCATTTACATGTGTCTAAGGCTGTTTTATGCTACGATGACAGAATTCAGTACTTACAACCAACTATGGCCTCCAGAGGCAAAAATATTTAGTATTTTATGCTTTCCAGAAAAATCTTGTCAGCGTTGATCTCTATATATTGATTCCTAAAGACTGTATGCAAGTTAATGACTATAATTGGGAAACCAGATGATGAAATTCATGGATAACTGGTAGGTTTTCTATGTTCAGGGCTAGCCATTTGTTCTAAGTATCATAGGCCTCCTTAAACCTCCAATACCCACGTGTAAAAAAGAAAATGAAACAAATTCCCCCAGCTTTTCACATATGGAACTCAGGTACTTTCAGCAACTGAAGTCTCCTCTTAAAGTTGCAGTCTGACCTATGCTGTGCTCATCTTTCAGAATGATAGTCATAGCTAGGAGCCTAAATTATTAATTCCTTCCTGCTATGGAATGTTGTTTTGCCCTTACCTACCACTGAAGGTTCAAATTCCCCATTTAAAGAATGTCAGCGTCCTCAATCCTGCTCCTACGTTGACTTTGAAACCATCAATGTGCTCTTCCTCATGTTTTGGCAAAGGCTTTGGCACGATGGCCAGCCGCCGGCTCTGAGGCTACAGTCCCTTCCCAGGTTTCCTGAATTTCCGCCCACCCTGTGTCTGCCAAGCAGTTTTACAAGCATCTACTACTTAGTTGAACATACCAAGATCATTTCTTAATCACCTTCCCGAAAGACTAAATGTAAATGTGCTTGTTTTAAGTCAATGACATTTCAAACAAATGCCTCAGGTCTATCTCCGGCTCGCTCATTACCAAACTTCCTCTGATGTTGCCCATGGGTAGTTACGGTGATTTGAGCACAGAGAGAAAATCAGCGATAGGGAGGGGTAGTCACAGGCGTGTCTGGTGCAAGCAGAGGCGAAGGAGGTGAACGCTGCAGCACATGGACCCAGAATTGAGACCCCAGGGAGCAGACCAGGGCCAGGCTAAGCGCTCTTCCGCCCGGAGCTGGGCTAGTCACCGCTGGGGGACTTCTCTTCACTGCTTTTCACCGTCAGGTAGTAAGCGCGGTTGGCCTCTGGGTAGGTGACTTTGCTGAGAGGGAGCTTGTAGATGGCAGGGTTGTTGGTCGTCAGGAGCAGGAAGGTGAGCGTGGAGAGGCAGAAGGCCCAGGTTCCTGGCGGTACTCCAACCTGGAAATACAAGGGCTGAAAGTGATTCAGGAACCTTGGGAAGAAGGGTGTGGCAGGGTTTGAGGAAAAAGTGCCAGGACTGGCACTTTTTTCTGGACTATAGTGTCAGAGTAGTTGGTGGTAGAATTTGAGGTGCTGGTACCTTTGGGCACAATCCAAATCTTTTAACGAGGCACAAGGGTGCAGCGGGCAGGTCTTTCCTGGACAAACCCTGGAGAAAGCGTGGCAAAGGCTTTGTAGGAGTAGCAGCCACTATCACCCACTCAGGATGCTGCCATCAAACTCGAAGGAGCCTGTAGTCTGGCTGGGGAAGGGCACTTTTGGGTAGAACTGAGGGGACTCCAAACTTACCACTGACATTATGTTGGAGAGGGCGGCTCCCACGTATGCACAGAACAGGGCTATGGAGGAACAGGAGGATTGAAGGTCAGCCTCCTAGAGTCCCCAGCCCCCCTCGAGAGTGGGTCCCCCCCATCTGCACAGCCTTTAGTTCCTGACACCTGACATGTCTGCTTGGCATCCCTGGCTATCTTTGTAGCTAAGTATGGCCCATCTCCCATCAGACTGTGTCTTCCCTGAGGGACACATACCCACTTAAATTCCTCACTTTCTTCTCCACTTCCAAGGTGACCCTGCCTAGAGTCAGAGGTCCACACTGACTGTAGGGATGGTCTGGCACTCGCTGGCTGGCTGTTCTTCCACAGGGCAAGCTGTCAGATTATGTGAATTCCTAGTCGGGGACTGCCAGTCTGAGACTGTGTGGCCATGAAGCTGATACCGGGTCCCACTGGAGTTAGCCTTTATTGGGCTCCTGAGCTAGTCCATCGGCGCCAGGCAGCTGGACAGTTAGGGGAGCCATCCACACCTCTGGCACAAGCTCTGGAGAAGCTCCTTCTGCTCCCAAACTTTTTAGCTCTTTGTGTTTCTCTGTCCAATACACCTTCTCGCCACTCATTTCCTATCCAAATCCCATGCTGAAAGTATTGAGATAAGCTCCCACCTTCCCCTGAAGCCTTTCCAGATGGTCCCAGCCACATGAATCTGCCAATTCTCTGATGGCAAAAGGCAGTTATATTTTGAGGCTCAAAATATCTGGCATTTTTGACTTTGCGAATATTTACTGAGCCTACTGTCTCCATGGCTTGCTGCTGAGAGGGACATGGAAGTCCTCTGAAGTCTCCATATAGTGCAAACAAAACAAGAACACAAATATAAGTTCTTCTAGATGCTCTTCTGCCCTTTGTCTCTAGTTTTGCTTATTAAAGTCCTGTTGTTTCCAGAGAATGTAAACAACCTCAGGACAGGCAGGCTGTGGAAAGATAAGACTGGGATTTGAATCTCACCTCTGCCAGTGACACATCTGTATCCCAGGGCAAGTTCGCTAACCCTTCCATGGCTGTTTTTCTCACCTGGAGAATGGGGCTGGCAACCGATGTGTGGACGGGATCTTGCGAGGACTGAGTGAGTCCAGAATGCGGCATGGAGTGTGGCTCTGGTAAGGACTAGCGGGCAGTCCTTTCTCCAAGCTTCCCTAGAGCTGCCTAATACTTTTCTGAGATCTCAATGCTCTTAGCTGTATGAGCCCACTGGAATTTTCCAACAGTCTTAGTAATTATTTACATAATTTCTCTGCTGCCAGGCTAAGGCTTCACGAGGACGTGGTCACCGCTGTATCTCCCACGGTGCTTAGTGGGCGTTATACATGCTGCTGAATGAACAGTCACTGAGGGCAGGAATGCTGCCAGCTGCCTCTAGCACATGCAGAAATCTCTGTACACCACACGATGCTGTGCTAGTACGAGAGCAATACTAGTGGCTGGTGTCGCCACTTGACAGAGAGCAGCCTCTGCCGCAGCCCAGCTGGCGAGGACCCCCGCATGGACTCCCTCAGCAACAGGGCTCCCCCAACTACAGGTTCTTCTGCCACCGCCTTGCAGTGCTAACTAGGTCACAAGGCAATCGAGTCGAGGGGGGAAAGAGTAGCAGGGTGACTTGGCTGTCAACCTTTCCGAATACCCACCGCAGACGAGGGCCAGGAGGTGGGTCTGCCAGGTGAGGGCGTAGAACATGCCCCCGATGGCGACGCAGGACAGCACGCAGTTGTAGCTCCAGAGGCCCAGGTAGATGTTCTCGAAGGGTGTGGCCACTGTCAGGGCTGTGGAACAAGGTGAGGCGTTTCTGGCTGGCTCTGAGCAGTTTCCAAACTGTTTTTCAAAGATCTCACACAGAGGGTGATTACTTCCAGGGCGAGGGGAGGCCAAGGAGGTGGACGCCAGGCCTCCCCACACCTATGAGTGGGGCGGGGCAGCAGCCATTTCAGGAAGAAGGATTTCAGTTGAAAAGTTCTGCTTTATGTGATTAAGAAGAATGATCTATGTACATATATAAATAGGTGTAGAGAAGAGAGACACCTAAGGGAGCAATGGGTCAGTCTGGGCAAAGAATTTATGGGGCTTTATGTACTATTTTTATTTTTGTAATTAAAGAAAATTGCAATTATTTGTAATTTTTTTTGAAGTTCTGTTCCATGATGCTTTTGAAAAATATCAGAGTAAGTCAAAGGCTCCAATTTCCGATGTGCTTCTGAGAGTTGTTTGCATAGACGTATATACACATATGCACACACATGTTCATACATGTGGACACATGAAAGCACATTTGTCCAGTGGTAATGCAATTTTTGAGAAAGTTTTTCCTTTTCACTTACTCCAAACTTGCTTCTGCTCCCTGCCCTGCTCCCTGCCTGCCGTGGCTTAACCTCTTCCCTCAGCTCCAAGGGGCTCAGTTTTCAGGCCAGCCCAGGCCTCCACACGTGGCCTGCTCTGTATCCTGTTTCCTTTGAAGACTCAAGAAAGGAACAAATAAGTCCTTAAGGATGCCAGAGAGGATAGGAAGTCTAGAATATTGCCACACGCAGGGGAGAAGTGACCTCAGGAAAATTCCCCTGAACTCCCTGCAGAGAGGGGCTCTGTCCTACCTGCCAGCATCCCCACGATGGAGCCAATGGCGGCGTGCAAGCAGATGAGTGGCGAGCAAATGAACAGAGCCACCAGGAACACGCCACCTGTCCAGGGATTGTCACAGCCGTACACCTGGCCGACCCCGACAGGGATGGCTTGTAGCAGCTGCAAAAGTCAACAGAATCCAGGTCACTGGAGCGTGGGCCCATAATGAGCAGGTCTCGGGGCCAGGACTGAGCCATTCCCGGGGGGCTGATGGGCTGGAACGGGCAGCTGGCTGTGCCTCCAGTGTGAGAGGACACGGGAGCGGAGCGCTGGAATAAACAGCTCCTCACTCCACCACCTCGCAGGCATCTGAGCATCTCTCATGCATAGCAGACAGGGCCCTCAGTACAGGGACTGCACACCGTGCACAGGGCTGCCTCTGAGAGAGACAGGGCTTCTGCTCGGAGGAAGAGTTAGAGGGGGAACAGAGACACCTCCTCCTGAGACTGCCATGGGGTTTCTGGCCACCATGGGATTTCCTCTAGATGTTCTGAAATCCCACAAATAGTGTAAGTAATCCTGGAGACAGGTGAGGCCATCGAGACAGATGAATTGACCCCAGTCCAACCAGCTCACTGATGGCCAAGCCTAGGCTAGGGTCTCTGAACCTGCCCGCTCCTCTATCAGTTGCTGTTGCAACTTCAGTGTTCCCCTGGGAGTCATGGGCCTGACAGGAGCAGGAGGAGGCACTGCCCCTGCTCTGAGGAGCACCAGCATTGCAGAGACATGCTGGACAACAGGACGACGCCCAAATATTCGAGTCACGGGGTGGTGCCGGAATTGGAGAGGATTCATTTGGAGGTGATGTCAGGGGCCCCTTTTCTGTCCTGGAAAAGGTGGGGGCAGGTGGAAGGGGAATTTCCTCAGTATCCTGCATCCCCTAAACTTTGGGAAGACATGGCATATTTATTGAGTAGATTTTTCTCAATTTTCCACCCTTAAGCTGAATTTTCTACCACTTTTATTTTTTTTTTGAGATTTCTAGGTGATTCTAATGTACAGCCAGTTTGGAAACCACTAAGCTAATCAATATGTATGTCCTGAGCATTTATTATGCACCCAGCCACAAAGAGCCCTGTCTTTAAAGCAGTCATATGCCCAGGTAGTAGAGAAGGAGTGTGTAGGATGTCAGAGCTAGAAGACTGCAAGAGCAGCAGAGAAGACCCCAGAGCCCAGAGTGGGGAGCTGACCACCCAGTCACACAGTGAGCTTGTACAGAGCCCCCAGAAGTGGGAAGCCTCAACTCCAGGCAGCACTTACCTTGCTACCAATCTCCCTTCTTTCCATTTTGCCCTCAAAGGACTTCGGGAATCCAGATACTTCAGCGTGGACAGAAAAGTCATCTGTCATCACTCCCAAATGAGTCATCTCCAATTCCAGCACCACCAGTGACCCTCGAGCTCAGGGATATTTGGGCTTTGTTCTGTTCAAGGGGTGCTCTACACACCTGCCCTTAAAACTCCGGTTTGAAGCCCAAGCAGTCAAGAATGAGAGGAATGAGGGAACAAGTTGCCTTGGAAAGGAGAGTTCTCCTTGGCATCCTGTATTTTAGCTGGTGAACTGTGACCCCGGGGCAACCTCTCCCCTCCACACTGCTCTGCACGGCCCTAGCTTAGACCCTGGGGTGCAGGGCAGTCAGGTGTGGGTGGAAATGTACTGAGCTCCAGCCTGGAAGACTCCAGACAATGCATGACCTCAGCAACCTGGAAACAAAAGGGAGTCACGCCTGCCATTGTTTTAAAGAGGAAGAGGGAAAAGGCACTGATCCTTCACAACCAGGCCTGGCTGGTGGGGAAGGAAAGGGGCCTCTTGTACAGGCTCCTGGAGAGCAGTGGGGAAGGAGCTCAGGGCTGAGCTTGGGCTCAGGGTGTCCAGACTGGGCCCTACTGGGCCCTACGACTTACTAAATGAATGAGAAGAACCTTATGATTGCGCCCCTCTCCACTCAGGTCCCCCTGGCAGTGTTGGCGCAGTTTGGGTGGGGGCCCATGGGCCCGGCTCTCTGGCAGCTCCCCAACCCCCTGCGCTGTCACTGGGACTGTGCCTCATGGGCAGGCTCAGCACTGGGGGTCTGTGCCCCAGGGCAGCCAGGCAAGAGACTACTAAGAGTCTCTGAAAGTTTGTCCTGGCTCCTGCCCCAGCGTTTTCCACTTGAGAGCGTGGCTTGCCTTTCTTCCCCATTTTCTTGCACCCCACACCGCCCTACGCAGCAGACAGGGTCTCAGGTACAGGACCCAGTGTGGCTCTCGCTGGAGGACCTGTGCTGTCCAGCCCTCCCCGGGTGGTGGACACCCCTGGAGCTGAGCACCTCTCCAACAGTCATGAGAGGTTTTAGCATATCTAGGCTATGGACTCGGCAGGATTCAGCTGTACAAATAATATTTGAGGCATAGGTTTCCAAGCATTTAAAAGATGATCAGGAACCAATAATGGGGATGATTCTAGAAAGCAGAAGTGGAACCAAAGGGTGGAAGATATTGCTGAGGCCTGTGAGGAACACGCCACCATTTACATGCTGAGGACAGGCGGGCTGCTGTGAAGCCCAGGTGGTCACAGCCAGCCACTGCTCCATGCAGCCCCTGTCCAGCCTTGAACTAAGGGGTGGTTCCAGGCTGCCTGGTGGTGAGGTGCAGGAGCTAGCTGCAGTTTGTCCTTGTGCCACCACCCTCGCTCTGCCTTAATTTTCTCTTCTATGAAATGAAATTAATGAAAGTATTTATAAAATTGGATTATTATGTGTGTCAATAAGTGAGGGGTTTGGAACAATTTTCTGATATGCAATATGCTTCTCTCAGTGTGAGCCACCTTTACGTTCACTAATAAGACCAAAATTTTGCAATTCTATAAATTGTACAGTTTTACAATCTACATATCTTATATTAGATTTTTATCATATTCTGTTACCCCCAATGTGTAGAGATCAGTCTGGTGCATGGTATGTACCTCTGCGTAGTGGGATATAAAGAAAAGTTTCTACTGACATTTTGGACTGGATAATTTTTTTGTTACAGAGAGGGGTCTGGGATGATTAGAGGTGTCTCTACTCACTAGATGCCAGTAGCACACCCCCTGGCTCCTAGGTCTTGACAATTAAGAAATATTTTCAGGCATTGACTTATATTTTCAGGAGAGAACCACTGGAATGGCATAGTACATAAACATTCAGGCCTGTTCTATTGATAGATTTGTTGCCTAATTTAAAACATTCACTTTAGCATTTTGTCTCGCTGCCCAACTTCTGTCTTATTTAATATTTCCCCCTCAACCCACCCATTCAGTTCTTCTCTGTGCTTGTTGATTCTGTCTTTCCCTGTGCCGAGAATGTTGTTTTCTTATACCTGATTTATTCCCATGTCTGTGAAGAAGAGCCTGGCACATATTAGGTCTTCAGTAAAGGTTTGCTGAAAGGATGAATGGAGATGATAGGAACCCTTTCCTATCCTCTTCCAACTAGGATGCCCACCATCTGATGGGATTCTTCTAGATAAATGGAGAGCCTGGGTAATCCACAAACTAGCTAGCAAGGTTGGGGGTGGAGTCAGGGGTCTCAACTCATGCTATCGGGTAACTTACCAAGGGCATTTCAATCTCTGTCCAGGTGATATTGGGTACTGAGGACACGGGTTCCACTAGTGTCGTGGGGAAGAAGAGGTTGTAGTGGCCTGTGGCTGCCAGGTACAGGGTCACGGCGATGTTGAAGGGCAGCGTGAAGACAGGGAGGTCCCACTTGCTGAAGATGGAATTCAAGGCACTAGAAAGAACTGGGCTGATGATGGAAGAGATAAAGGATCTGTCACTGTGATCCTCTTTAGGTCTGTACCAATCATCAATTCTGGCCACTGTGCTGACCCACTGTCCCCTCTTCTTGGTACAGTCATCCCTGATTCCCATGGGCCTCTGGTCCCATTGGTCTAGGCTTGGAAATAAAGTATTCAACTTAAGACCACACCTATGAGAAACTAATTTTAAAAGTATTGTAATCTCTTTTGAATAGAAAACTATAAAATAAATATTTATGTGTTTCTTAAATCAAGAATAAGCAAAATGTAATCCTTACACATCACTCATTAACTTTGGATCATTAAGATGTATATGGCTGCTGTCCAGGGCTGTGCTAATCTTTTAGAAATCTGACCTGCTAGGAGGAGGTTGCTATGGCATGAGGTACCTGCAGGCTTGGATTCAGCTAAGATGAACTACTTGGGGAAATGCCATGTGTCCTCTCAATTCTTTGGGTAGGGCATGAGACAGATGTAGCTGGGTGCAAATCTAAACTCCTGCTCGTACAGATTGAGTGAAGAACATTAGGTAATTATTCTTTTTTAGCTTCAGTTTTTCTTGGAAGGGGCCAGACACCCTACCACAGTATATCAAATGCTCTATGTTCTCTATACTCAATGAACTCTAGAGAAAAAAACAGGAAAGCAATGATACGGCTAACTGGTCTACCTTTAATTAATGACCACTCACCTCAAATGGGTATTTAAAACTACATGAAAACCCTACCACACATTCCAAACCCATTAACACTCCAACTTGCTGAGACAACTACTTCACATTTTCTGCTCAAATCTTTACTGTGTCCCTTTAGTTTCAGCTAATCACCTTCCTTTACTTCATTAAGAAAACAGAAATAACACAATGGGAAACACTTCATTTTCCCAACCATGAGATCTGCATTCTGACATACTCAACCTCTCTCCCCCCCTTTTTTTTTTTGTATGATAGAAATGTCCCTGTTCCTTTTCAGGTCTCCAAGTCTTCCCATTTTCCCCAACCTCCCCCCCCCCATACTTCAAGCTGCAATCTGTCTCAATGTCTTCACCCCTGAAATCCTCCCTTCCCCTTCTCTCTTTCTCAGCTTCAGTCTTCCCTCTGGATCATTCTTGGAGGCATACAATGTGCTCCAGATCTTCTCACTTTAAAAGTCCTGCCCCTTTAACCTGATGCCCCTTCTGCTACTGCCTTATTTCTCTGGCCCCTTTCACAGCAATACTCCTTAAACTTGTCTATCCTGCTGTCCCAATTTTTCTACTCTATTCTTCCCTAGTCCTACTCTAAGCAGACACATGTTTTCACCACACCATGGAAATTATTCTTGTCCAGTTCACTGGTGACATCCATCTTGTTAAATCCATGGTCATTCCCTGCTCCCCTCATTCATTACTTGGATTCTCTTACTGCCTGAAACACTTTTTGTCTGGGCACTTCACTTTCTTCCTGCTTCTCCAGCTGCTTCTCAAGTGTCCATCAATGGCTCTTTCCTCTTCTGCCAGACATCTGAATGGAGCCTGTGACTGTTTTGGGTCTTCTCTTTCTCTTAATCTTATCTTTCTGGGTGATATCTGTTAATCTCATGGGCAAAATATCTTCTATATGTTTGTCTTCCAAATCCTGACTACATTACTAACTTGCAGATTTTTATATCCAGTTACCTTCTCAACATCTCTACTTGCAAGTCCAAAGTTTAATAGGCTCAGAGAGAGTTCTGGAAGCATGTATGTATCCCACCACCAACCTTTTATTCTCTTTGTCATTTCTACCAAGCCAGGTGCCCAGACAAATTACAGGAGTGCCCAAATCTTTTATCTTTTCCAACCTCATACTCCATAGTCTCTCACAAAGTCCGTCCTGCAGTCTTTACCTTCCTCCTCCAAGCAAAACTACCTCACCACCCTCATGGCTTCTTCATCACTCCCATTTCTCTGTGGGTTACTGTGGCAGACTCCAAACCATGCTGTCAGCATCTAGTCTTGCTCCAGTTAAAATTCATTCTCCACACTGCAAGTGGAGCGATTTGTTTAAAGTAAACCATATCCTATCACACCTCTGCTTAAAATCCTTTAACTGTGTCCCATCATTGTTGTAATGGAATCAAAAGGCCTATGGATCTGTGGTATATGGAATCTTGGCCCCCTTCGGCCCTCACCTCCTGCCACCCTCCATCGGTCAAGCCTTCATTTCTGGGTCTTTGCAGAGGCCACTGCTGCCTGCAGTGTCCTTCATTCAGATCCTCAGCGATCAGATCCTCACTTCCCTATCAGTGACAGCTTGGATGACCCCTCTGCAAAGTGGCTTTCCCTGACCACCCACATCTGGAATCACTCTCTGTCTCATTTGTCTTGTTTTGTGTTCCTCAAAGCACTTGTCACATCTTGAAATGATCTTTTCTAGTAATTAGTTTATGAGTTTCTTTCCATCTCTGCCAAGAAGAATGTAAGCTCCAAGAGGACGAGACTGTCTCTTGTACGCAACAAGCCCTCATTGGGACAGTCCCTGCACACAGCACCAGGCACTCTGCAAAAATGTGCTTGTTGGGTAAACCTGGCAAACAGCCCCATTCATATCTGACCTCTGGCTTGGATGTCAATGGCATATGAAAGGATTGCTGAGCAGAGCTCAGCCCAGAGAAGGTGCTGGGTGTAAACGGGGTGGGGAGCACTGCAGACCAAACTCCTGGTGCACTGGGGTGAGAAACTGTGCTGGAAACTTCGTCTGTGCAGCTTTAATCAAATGTAAGCAAATGAAGATGAGTTTCCCACCTCACACACGTGGGCACATTTAGGAAACCCTCACAGAAATAACTGCTTATGCTCTTTGTTTTAATGGATTAAGAACAGAAGCCCCGAGAAGAAACAAATTGCTCAGAATGCTTAATACAGTCATTTATTTGTAAGCACTACTGAAAAATGAGTGGACCAGTACTTAAACCAAATTAAACTATTTTTTAGTTTTAACTGTTAGTAACTCTAGGCTTGAAAGCAAAGGAAGACATTTACTTCTTAGAGATGTCGGAAATCAGTCAGCACATCTGGGAATGTGTGAGCACAGGGGTGAGGGACATGGGTTCACCCCAGGCTTCCTGCCCCTGCCCACAGTGGGCATGCCCCTGCTGCCTAATAACACTGCAGAGGGCTGCAGATTCTACTGAACTAAGGCCATGTGTGTCCAGTCCAAGTATACCCCTCACTCAATGGCTACTTGCTTTTCACAGCTTGACCTTTTTATGTCTTTGCAAAGATCTCAACCGATGTGTCTTATTCCAAGGTTCTCTGTTTTAAATGTAGACATTTATTACAGGACAGTGCTCTGATTCTAACCAAGTGTGTTTTCTGCCTTGGTGTCCTGGTTAGGCCACAAGGTAGGTGAGTTCCATGTAGCTTAAGATGGGTTCAGAACACCAACACCAGAACACCAACTTTGACAGACTCTCACCTGGGGTAAGTCACTTAACCTTTTGCCTTGGTCTTCCCTTCTATAAATTGGGCACAATGATAACCCTACCTAGCTGTGTGCCTGGTATGAAGGAAAAATAAATGTTAACCTTTACATTAAAGGAAGATAATCAGCATAATTTAAAAATGTGGTATTAGACTGCTTTATAGAGTCCCTATTATTCTCAATTCAAGACAACTGCTTTGTGCTATAGTCGAACTCACAGGTTTTCATGGGCTCTTGGGAGACATACTGGCCTGATATAGAGACATTGGGCCAGACGGTGCCTGTCCCTGTCCTAGGAAAAACCCAAGCACCTGGGGCCTCTGGGGGTCTGAGAGTAGAGAGAATGAGATGCTTTACCAGGCCATGGCTGTGAAGGTCACAGGAAACAGAAGCCACCAGTAGTAGTCTAGTTTCTTGGAGAACACGGCCATCAGCAGTCCCACCAGCACCCCGTTGTACCCGTGGAGTCCTGAGGAGATGGCTGACCTGTGGGTGACACAGTCCTTGGCTTTGAGTTTGGGGACACTTATTGGCCCCTCTTGCTGGCACTCACAGAAAGTCAGCTGACTCCATGACGACTGGGTCAGTGGCTGACAGCACCCTCCAGAGACACACACACACTTGCTCACACGTGAGCGTGCACACACACACACACTTGGTTGTCTGTGCTGATCTAGAATTACATTATGCAGACCTCGGTGTCTAAGCTTGCCTTTGCTGCTCAAGGGGATCTCACACTGTTGGACACAGTGTCACGCGTCAGAGCTCTGCCAAGCCCTGGCTCGGGGCCCCTCAGGTGAGTGTTTTCTGTGCCTAGGTCCCATTCTGTCAGGGGTAACATGACCCCATTACCTGCACTGTCAGCCTCCTGAAGGGGTGACAAAAAATCCATGTGACAAGGCATGGCCGAGTTTTTCAAGCTTTTTGACAGTAGCCCCAGTAAGGAAGGAATCCATTTTATAGTATGACCTAGCTCACTCTCTCTCATGCATGCACACACACCCCAATGTGAATGTAACAAAATTTTCACAAAATAATATTTTACTTTTTCTGTGTATAGCTGATTACTCTATTGAAAATAAAAAAGTTAATTTATTTTATTGCTTTAATTTTTTTTTAAATTTAGGTAATGTTGGTTTAGAAAACTGTATAGGATCATGCCCTGCAGGTATATGTCATCACGCCAACCACCATCTATTGCTTTAATTTTTAAAAATACTGTTGGCATTTAATTCATGATCCACAGGTGGGCTGGTGATCCCAAAGTAAAAAAAAAAGCACTGAGAATATGAGCATTTCCAAACTTCTCTGACCTCCAGAACCACCCAGGATTCTGACTGCATACACTCTCAGATCCACTGCCTGGAACTCTCTGGGAGGGAGGAGAAATACTTGGGCTAAGAAGTTACATTTCTTAATCTTCACCCACCCCCCAACCCATGATTGATTCGGCCATCAGGAAAGTTTGGGAGGCACTGGAGTAACACTTAGCAAAGTCTGGGGAAATGGCACAGTTCTAGAAAATGCTGGTATTTACTGCTTGGACCTCACAGTGACCAGAGCATCATCTCCAGGAGGCAGGCGTCTGCCTCGCGTCTCCCAGTGCTTATGTTTGCTCTTCTTCTACATGGCACCTCCGTCCCTTGTCCCTCTTGCCTGCCACCCTCCTCCCTTCCACATGCAGTGCTCCTAATGCAGAGGCTGCCTTCTTTAACCTCCCGGCACCTAGTGTCACCTGCTTCTCTGAATGCTTCAGCATGTACTGTCTTGTATTACCCTGAGACATTTCTTGCCTTTAGCCTGGTCTCACTAGATTGTAGGCTCCACTCACTAGATTGTAGGGAAAAGCACCTGCCTCAGGAGTATTTCCAGAAATCTCTGTAGTGAAATGGAGCCTGGTGCCATCATTTGCTATGACACAGGAGTAACTTAATTCCCAGAGGATTTTAGTGACTTGGTCAGAGTTGGTATTTAGGAGACTTTGGGCTGGTGGGTAGAACAGTGTTGGTTGATCATTCAAGCAAACACCTCTCCACCTGTTTGTCCCCGGACCCCAATACCCCCTAGACAGGGACCCACCTGTCCTGGCTCAGGGCGAGGGCAGTTAAGGTCGAGACCACTGCCCCCAGTGCTCCGGCAATGGTCCACCAGGGATTCTGGATCAGGAGCCCAACAAAGATGACAAGTCCGCTCAGAGGGTTGTTGACGAACATCACCTGAGCGGTCCCCCTCAGGACCCAGTCGGTGAACTGGAATGCCAGTGGCTTGTCTGAAAGAGACGGCAGAGCCATCAGCCTGTGCTTCTGGCTGGACCACCCTGGCTGGTGTGGCAACCGAGGCAACAGGGATGTGCATGGGCTGGACACTTCTCCTCGTTCTACCCATCCGCAGCCTGGGTCTCTCGGTAGCCCGGCAGCCCATCGGCAGAGGACTCTTTGCTTCTACAGGCAGCCTACGACCAACCTCACACCATTCCAGCCACTGTCTTGGTTGGTAAGGAATCCCCAGGTACATTCTAAGGGAAATTTCTGGGTCCAAGGGAAGGGGTGCAGAGGACAGAAACTCTTTTTGTGTAGTGCTCTACGACTCAGTTGAGGACTAGTATCTGAGCAGAAGAGAAAGAAGCTGAGAAAGAACTGATCTTAGTGCCGCGGTGACCCTCAGAGGTGAGTCAGGACCCAAGGAACTGGGTCTAAAGAGGGGACATTTGATTCCCAGAACAACCTATACAGGTTGGGGTGAGTGGTGGTAGGGAGGGAAAGGACATCTGTTGTAGAGTTTGGAGACGGTAGAATAAGGGAGACATCATAAGGAAAGAACCTGAAACAATGGGGAGGGTGATGCGAATATTTTCTTGGCATGTGATGTTTCTGTGGAATCAGGAAGACGGTTCAGCTTGTTTGGGGAGCGGCTCCTAAGAGGCTAACGTGGCTGTCCTGTGTCAGTTCCACGTAAGGTTGAAGAATTTGCAAAGAGCTGAAATCAGTGCAATATATTTCATTCTGAAAGTGGGAATTCCAGCTGGGAAGGGCAGATAATATCCACGTAGGGTCACGGTTGGGGCTGGAGCACCCCAACCACGGGATCGAGGGGACAACTCCTTCAGTCCAATCCAGAGAGCCGGAGAGCCGACTGAGCCTCTGGCGCCAGGCTGCCCCGCCCCCCGCAGCCCCCCCCCCCCCCCCCACGACCCCACACTCGCCCACCTTTCAGCCAGTTCCGGCACTCCTTCATTTCGCCTGTGAGGTAGCCCACTGCTTGGAAGAGGCTGATGCCTTCCTGGTGGGCTGAGCCTCGATGGGCCACCTTGCTTTCTCTCCTTTTACTCCTGTCACTGGTTTTTTCAATCTTCACAATGTGGCTGTCTTCACTGGGTGGCCGGAGATCCTTTTAGGAGAAGCCGTGACAAAACATCGGTAATATGTTATAGTTTGTTGAGAACAGGGGTACTAGGGAGGGGAAGGCTGTCAGCCTCTGATTCAAGGCCACATGCCCCTGCCCGATTCTGTGTGGCCTGCAAGGCCCAGGACACCATACTTTCTCCATAGGTGGGCTTTGGACCTTTGTGCCATGGATCCTGTTTGGCAATTTTGCAAAACCTGTGGATTTCTCCTCAAAATTATGTTTGTGGAAATGAAAATTACAAAGGAAGCAGGTGATACCAAAATGCAATGATCACAATATTTAAAAAACTGCGATTCACACACAGTGGCAGCAGATCCAGTCAGTGCTCATTACGATTTCAAAGTGGTGACGAGTGACTGTGGGGACTCCGCAGCCCGAGTCACCGCCACTGGCTAGGCCATCCCAACTGCGGGGCTTCCCATCAACCGGTCAGCAGAGGCCTTGATGTGACGGTCAAGCCCCTCTCGTCTAGTCCTGCAGCCTTTACTGCCCTCTACATATGGCCCAAGGGCACCCGCCAGATCTCCATGTCAAAGTTCACTTCCTGGGGAACCAAATGTGTGACAATGACACGTGTGACCAGACACTACTAGTGTGACTGGTGTTCGCTGCATATGTGCACAATCAAAAGAAATGCTGAAACTCATCGGTGGTTACTGAGAATAAAGATACATTATTTTCCTCATTCAGGTTCATGGCTCTTAAAGTCTATCATGGAGCCCCGCTCAGGAACCCTTACTCTAAAGTTACACTGCCCAAGGGGTAGCCGACAGGCAGGTGGCAACAGAGGACCTGATATGTGACTGGTCTGGACAGAGATGCGCTCTAAGCGGACTCAGAGGACTTCGTATGAAAAGCTAATTTGAAATTTCTAAATGGTACTTTGTGTTGATTACATACTGAAATAACACTGATGTATACGTACTTCAATTCTCTGTAATAAGCGTGCATAAATAAAAAAATAAAATAAAGATCAAGACAGTCCATGTCCTTCTCCACTGGGCCAGCTGCACCAGCCAGGGCCACCTCTGTGCCTCGGGGGGCAAGGAGTGCCCAAGCCGGCGGGAGCCAGGGCCTTCCTTTTGGAGACTTAGAGCAATTCCGGGAAGCAGGTCTGGGAGACTGGTTGGGTGACGCTCTGTGAATGTGTGCGTTCCTCAGTTATCCTGAAAATCATGCCACCTACAGAGTCACATTTTCTCTCTAAGGCCACATGGGGTCCATTGGGAGCCTATGTTATGATGGGAGCTGCATCCCCTGGACAGTGGCCCTTCGGTGGCTTTAGGTAACAGGTACATTGGGAAATGGGAAAGGCAGCATCTTGCGGCGCCCCTCCCCCACCTCCCCTTCCTGGGAACACCTTGGGTGGGGGCTTTCCTCACCTTTTCTTCAGGCATTTCCAGGAGGGGCAGAGCTGGGTGCGTGTCCTGGGGGCTGGAGGGCCAGCTGGGGCTGGTGAGCTCTGACTCTTTGTAGAGTTTGTATCTGCTGGGCAGGCGCTCCGCCAGGAGAGGGCTGCTGTGAGTGCTGAGCATCTCCTTGGCAGCGCGGCCACTCATCTATCGTGCCGGGGAGAGCAAGAACAGGAGCACGTGAGTCGGAACTGGGCCCAGAGGCCGGGCTGGGCTGTGCCGGTGTGACCACAGGAGGCCGGTCTGTCCTGGCACACGCGGCAGCACCCCGGAGGGGTCCAGGACCCTCCCCCGACTCAGGGAAGCTTCGCTTCCCCACGTGCCCCCATTCTTCCAAGTCCAAAGGAAAGTCCATTTCTGTTGGGAAGATTTCCCTGACCAACCGGTTAGATTAGGTCCCTCCTTCCCCCCCTCCCTGATCACTGACATACTTTTCACTAATTGAGGGAGTTAATTCTTCAACCTTTCCCCCTTGATGCCCCCACACTGGTGATCCAGACTCTCCAGTGGAGTTGGGGGGCATCTAAGCAAAACTCATCTTGGTTGCTGTGGGGCCTACCTATATGGTTCCCAGTGGACCCCAAATCCACTCTCCCCCTCCAGGTGCCGCTTCAGAAACGCCAGGGTTCAAACTTAGTACTTTCTCCTCCATTCTCCATACCCAGTAATTCTCCCTCATGTCCACCGTCATCAATTAGCTGTCATTATCTTGTATCATTTCCCTAGAAATCCACAATCAAACACCTCCACTTCTCAGATTTCCCCCTAGACCATCCTCCAAAGCAGTCAGAGTTGTCAGGTTAACTCTTCACTCCACTAAAGCAGAGTCCCTGTTCAAATTCTCTAGTGACTACGGATGGAAGAGAGAGTTTAGCACGCCTGTGTCCCAAGGTCCCACTATGCTGCAGTCCACCCAGGTTCCTCCCTCTGCCTGCCTCAGGACTCCACCACAGCCTCCTTTCAGTGCCTACAGAGTGATAAGCACTTCCCCACCTCAGGGGCCCTGCAAACGCTGGTGTGTCTGCCTAGAGGGCCTCTTTGCTTTTTTTTCCTGGGAAGTTTCGATTCTTTCAGACTTTGTCTCATGTCAAGTTAGAGAAACCTTCCCAGATCCACCCCAACCAGATCCTGTCACATTCTCTCAAAGGACCCAAGTATTTCCCTCATAACTTTTTTTTTTTTGCATCAGGTAATGATAGATTTGTATGTTCATTCATACTATATCTATCTCTCCACCTGGATTTAAGGTTTATGAGAACATGACCATCTCTGTTCTGTTTACTGCTGTACCAGCAGTTCCCAGCAGTGCCTGACAGTCAGTAGGTGTCCAATAAACAAATATAGTTGGAAGGAGGGGGGTGGGAGGGGAGGAGAGAGGCAAGAAGGCAGGCAGGCTACCGGGAATAGGGACACTTCTTTGGAGAACTTTACAAATCACCACGGATATCATGAATCTTGAATGGCTTGAGAAAGGTATGGGGCTGCCCACCTGCCCTGCATTTTGAGACAAAACTCTGCCAGGTCTAATCCTTGTCCCCTTGCCTAGACGGAACACTTCTACACTATGGCTGATTTTTAGTGTGGAGCTGCAAGCCTTATTCAGATCCAACTAATTCCTCTTTCTGATACTGCCAGGCCCTGGAAGGAGGCCCCTTTCCTGATATTGGCCCCACAGGTGGTGTTTCAGACTGTCCTGGAGGGGACCTGCCAGAAAGGTTTAGGAAGGAAAGCAGATGAGCAGAACCTGTCCCTCTCCCATGCGCTCTCGCCCTCTGGTGGCCAATAGTGATACAGCACCTGACTTGCTGATGGGAGGATTCCTTCCAAGACATCCAGATGAAAATTGAGGAGAAATCAAGTATATGGACACTTGATTTGTGTGACACCAGACATCTGGATGAGGCAGGCATGTTCTGGAAGGACTTTGTGGTAAATCTCGTGGCCTTAAAAATCTAGACGGGGTCCTCCCTGGTGGCACAGTGGGTTAGGACACAGCACTGCAGGCTGGCTGTAGCCGGTTCAGTGCAAGTTCCATCTCCCGCCCCAGAGGTGATCCACATGGCGTGGCAGACCTCTTCTGACCTTCCCACTGCCACTGCTGCAGTGCACTTCATAGGTCTGCCTGTTCTGCTCCCCACTGTCTCTGGTGAAGCCTCTCACTGCCCCTGATACCCTGGATTGTACCCCAGTTCTGTATGAATAAGAAAACAATCTTGAAAACCAAAAAGAATCAGGTAATTCTATTTAAAAAATCTAGTTGGAAAGGATAATTTTTTTTTTTCCTGAATGTGTATCATGGACCGTAGGATGTTATTAACTGAAAGAAACACTGTTGGCTTTTATCACACCAAGAGAAAATAAAATGCCTTCCATCAACACTGTAAGACGTATCCTGACTTCAGAAATGCTAAAATATGACAGCAATACATATCATACAATCTAGGAAACAGGGTGATAGAAACAGGGCTCAAGCGTGCAGGTGGGGTGTCTTCAGAAATTATTTTCTCACCATGAGGTTTTCAAATATTCTGTTTCATTTGATGGGAAAATGTGTATTTACATCATGAACCTTTAAGAACAGAGCCGTCTCATGGTGGATTTCTATATTTGTGCTGCTCAGCAGAAAACAAGGCACATAATACACCATCAGCATACAGTCAACGACTTACAGGAAGAATGTAAATAGGGTTGCACTGTCTAGAGTCATCTCTAGAAGGTGTTTGCTTCTCTATCTTTGGGTCCCTTTTCCATGCAGATAATATTCCCAGTGACAGATGCAGAATCAAGGCCCCGTAAAGCAAAGCAGGCACCATTTCTCACATGGCTTTAGCTCTGCACTTTTGGAGACAAACTTTCCTCCCGTGATGGCCACAGGCAGCAGAGACCCCGGGAGACCAGAGTTTACTGCGGAGTCCACACAGGCCCAGTCCCCATGTCTTGGGCTCCTTCTGTTACTCTGGCGCCCAGTGGGGGGCACCTCTAGAGGAACAGGGGTACGGTGTCTGCCCAGGGCCCAGGTCCAGGCCCTCAGCCATGCTCTAGTTTGTAACCCAAGCAGCCGCTACAGGAACTACGTGATTACAGCTCCTCTAGGGAACACAGTGTTCTTTTGCCCTGGGAATGTTTATCTTGTTCGATGGGGGAATTTTGGCTTTGGAGTAGGGATGAGACACACAGCAAAAATGGCCTTGTAAAGAGAAGGTCGCTGTGTCTGGAAAGAGCAGACTGGGAAGCTGACAGGTTAATTTCACACTTTTCTGTCCTGAGGGGCTGCATGGACCTCCATTTTTCCCTTAGGACAGTGAAATCGTTGACTTGGCTCTTGGCACACAGTAGGCATGCACTGAGTTTCATTTTCCTTCCTTCTTGGGCTCTCAGATTGAAGGGAAAGGTGGCTAATTAGCTCAAGGACAAGCTGACTGTGCTGAAACAGGAGTCTGCAAAAGTTCCCTAAGGTGGCAGCCATTTGTTAGAGCTGTGAAATCCCGGCCCCAGCCACGTCCCATCAGAAGGCGGCAGGCCTCAGCGTCCTGTCCCAGCTCTGCTCTGAGCCAGTCAATTAAACCTGCTTCCAAGAACACATAATTATCTGCCTGGCGTGCAAACGCTCTCCTTGGCTGCCCACACCTCCTATCCCCCCCACCCCCCAGAAATATGGACAGAAAGGACTGTTTGGATCAGACTCACATCTCTCCAAAAAGTCAGGCTTCAAATGTTCCAGCAAAGGGGCTCCCCCCAAAGACTGGCTCTTCTGCTCCCTTGTAAGAATGCTCTTTGTTGAGTCCCTACTGTGGGCCCTCAGGCTGCCCTGGAAGGAACTAAGACACCAGGCAGAGCATACATTTGAGGGTGGGAGTGAGGAGTGAACAGATCTTGTGTGTGGGGGCAGAGATGTTATGGTGGCAGAGGGGGGCAAGGGTGTGGAGGACTTGCCCAAGCAGGCAAGTGGCTAGAATGCTCTCTGGGCCAAGGAAATGCCCAGGAAAATACATAGGCTGTGCCAGTAATTCCAAATTGGGGTCCAATTGGAGCATGGAGAGGGGTGTCGGCAGGCAATAAAGATGAAGCTGGGAGGGGGAGTGGGAAGGGCCAGAGCCAGACAGTGAAGCACTGTCAGTCGCCATATTTGGACCAACCTCTGCCATGGGCTTGGAAACAAGAATCTCCCTCTATTGCGCCACCCTCAGATTCTTCCTCCTGTTCTTTTCTCTGAAGGATTAGCTATTCCTGGTGGAAAAGCAAGAGCCAGGCTGTCTATGGGCAGGGTGGTGCCTCCATGGCAAGCTCCTGCTGTCCTGGAGAGAGGGGCCATGACTGGAGGGCTTTCCTGAGGAGAGGTGTGAGTCAGGGCCACTTCAAGGCTCTCTCCCTCCTTCTGGACTTTGGGTTTAAGGATGCCTGGGAAATGGTCCTTTGGGGGATGTATGTGAAGTGACCTCATTTATGTCATCTTCCAACCAACCAAGTTACTGAGACCTCAGTAGCTCTGGAGAAGGAAACACAATTATTAGATGTTCCAGAATGTTGAACTGATTAATTTTGCTTAGGACTAAGCAATTGATGCAGTCAAGGAGAGTTGTGTAAGTTTGATCACCTTAGGACCAAAAGGGATATTCTTTGCACTCTCTCAAATGGCACAGGAATCCATCTTTCCAGGCCTCTGACTCTGGCAGGATCCCATGACCCCAGCCAAGCTGTCAGCCTGTGAACACCTCTGACCACCTCGAATCTGTGGAGCTGAGGACATCAAGTCCCTGGGACTTGCATCCATTGCTGGCTCCAGAACTGTCCATCGTGTCTGCACAGGACTTCCTTATCTCCTTGGGAGCACTTTAGAGACTGATCCTAGCTAAGCCATCCATTCTCTGGAGAAGATCTTGATTTTCTTTCAGGCTGGCTCACCAGCCAGAGTCCCCCAGACTCTGCCATCTTGCTCAGGTTCACACACCACGGAATCAATGGCAGAGATATCACTTGGACAGGACCTTTTCGCTCAGGCTGGGTCCCTGGGCCAGGGCGCTGCTGCCCCTGACAGCTGCTGAGAGGGAGGAATCAGCTGTGCAGGCTAAGTGGATGCTGGAATGGGGTCAGAATAGGCCCACGGGCTGGAGGACCTCCCCAGGGAGAGGAGGCCAGATCACTCAACA